GCCTACCAACCAAAAAAAGTCCAGGTCCAGACAGGGTTCACAGCTGAATTCTACCAGACATACAAAGAGGAGCTGGTACCACTTCTCCTGAAACTATTCCAAACAATCCCAAAAGAGGGAATCCTTCCCAAATCATTTTATGAGACCAACAGCATCCTGATAGCAAAACCTAGCAGGGACTCAACAAAAAAAGAAAACTTCAAGCCAATATCCCTGATAAACATAGATGCAAAAATCTTCAATAAAATACTGGCAAATCGATTGCAACAGCACATCAAAAACGTATCCATCATTATCAAGTAGGCTTCATCCTGGGGATGCAAGGCTGGTTTAACATACACAAGACTATAAATGTAATCCACCACATAAACAGAACCAAAGACTAAAACCACATCATTATCTCAATAGATGCAGAAAAGGCCCTCAACAAAATTCAACAGCTGTTTATGTTAAAAACTCTGAATAAATTAGGTATCAAAGGAACGTATCTCAAAATAATAAAAGCTATTTATGACAAACCCACAACCAGTATCATACTGAATGTGCATAAACTGGAAGCATTCTCTTCAAAATCTGTCACTAGACAGGATGCCCTCTCTCACCACTCCTATTCAATGCAGTATTGGAAGTTCTAGCCAAAGCAGTCAGGCAAGAAAAAGAAATAAAGGGTATTCAGTTAGGAAAAGAGGATGTCAAATTTTCTCTATTTGAAGATGACATGATTGTATATTTAGAAGACCCTATCATCTCAGCCCCAAATCTCCTTAAACTGATAAGCAACTTCAGCAAAGTCTCAGTATAGAAAATCAATGTGCAGAAATCGCAAGCATTCCTATACACCAGTAATAGACTTAAAGAGAGGCAAATCACGAGTGAACTCCCATTCACAATTGCTACAAAGAGAATTAAAAATTTAGGAATATAACTAGCAAAATATATAAAGGCCCTCTTCAAGTAGAACTACAATCCACTGCTCAATGCAATAAGAGAGAACAGAAACAAACAAAAAAAAAATCAGAAGATTGCAGCCACACCCTTGGCAGGAAGAATATGTGTGTAATAGAATTGTAAGTAGAGCCTCTCAACTCCACCTAACAGTCCCATTGCCTTTCTCAATGGGTCACCTATCTGTTTTGTCTAAAGAGTGACATAAGAAGGCTGCTATGTCCTCTCTAGAGCTACATCCAAGTTCAGTTCAGACCTGCAGAAAACCATGAGATCCCTTACTTCTGTTATGGGGGATTTACTAGCTTGGAGAAAAAATATTTGAATCTGAAGATAAAGATTTTCTTCTTCCAAAAAAAGATATTTATACTAGTATACCATGCTGAATAATATATTAACTACTTTCTTTCTTTTACAGAACTTAAATGTCTTATTCCTACTCTATGAGGAAATATCACCAAAATAGATATCTCTCCTTTATGTTGTCAGCAAGAATAAAGTATAAGAGAGTACTACTATGTCTATTTAAATATATTAAAAACATATTAGCTTTCAAAATTTTAGAACATAAGAGTATAATATAGAGGATATAAAGAAGACAGTGGAATGGAGTAAAATATTAGTGTCAATTATTTTCTCATTTTCTCATATAGAGAGCTTTGAAGAAACAAACATGAGAAAGAATACATAAAACCTAACAAGTATTCAATTCTTTATTAAGGGAAAATATTTCTTAAATGTTTTTTTTTTTTTTTTTTTTTTTTTTGTTAAGAGGTGGTATGTTGGTGCTGGTTCTCACCTAAACATATATTTGACATCAGATTGATAAATTGCTTAGGATTTAATCTCCCTTAAATGACTGAAACATTTTTCATTATTATACATATTGTATTGCATATGTGTGTTTTAATTATTACTGAGTAGATAGGGTGCAAAAGGTCATGTTAAACCTGAAATGCATGAGGACTGGGTTTAATCCATAAAGATATCATGGTACTGACATAAAATACAGAAATGATTATGTGATTTGTGGATGGAAATGATGCTCTTTCAGCCATCAAATTTTATTTATCAAAAATGGATATTTGGTTTTGGTTCAACTCACTTGATCACATTATAATAAATGAGTATAGCATAATAATTTATTAATATTCATAGGAATGCAGTGCAGAGAATTACTCATTACCTCTGAGAGTTATATCTTTATGGTTCTACTAAGTAAAAAAATTATTGGTGCTATCACAGTGAAATTTTAATCTAGACATAAAAATTTAATTATGAGAAAATCTTTTGTAAAATTTTATGAAAAGAAGCAAAGAGTTCTAGAGACAGAACTTCACCAAGATCTCTGTGGTTAGCGAAAAAGGAGATTGCTATGTTGCAAACAAAGATGCAGCATGATTGAAATTTCAATTCTTTCCTTTTTATTTATTTTTATTTTTTTGAGACAGAGTTTTGCTCTGTCACCCAGGCTAGCATACAGTGCTGTGATATCAGCTCACTGCAGCCTCTGCCTCACAGCTTCAAGGGATTCGTCTGCCTCAGCCTCCCTAGTAGCTGGCATTCAGGTGCCCACCACCTCGCCTGGCTAATTTTTTGTATTTTTAGTAGAGATCAGGTTTCGCCATGCTGGCCAGGCTGCTCTGGAACTCCTGGCCTCAGGTAATCCCCCACCTTGGCCTCACAAAGGGCTGAGATTATAGGCACAAGCCCCCATGCCCAGCCTAAACTTTAAATTCTACCAAGTCTATTTCTCTTTTAAGTAAAATATCCATTGCCTTCTCAACCTAATTTTTTATCTTAAAATGTTTAATAAAGCAATAATTCCTATAATACATTTACATAGTCTATAAATTATATATACATATGGTTATGCTGTTTTACTCTACTGTTCATAGAAATGTATGTGCAATATGTCTAGTAACTCAAATAAAAACATATAGTGTCATATATTTTAAAACTCTAAACCAAACTCATATATGCTACCATACAAATATTGAAAGAAAATGCATATAAATTTGACCTATAGTTTTTTTGCAGTTTTTTGAACTGGAAGATGTTTCACACACTTTTCCTGTTTCTTACATTCAAATATTCAAATGTGTGTAATCCAACACTCCTTTTTAAAGTACTTAGATTGAATTCTTCCAAGATTGAATGGAATTGTGTGTGTGTGTGTGTGTGTGTGTGTGTGTGTGTGTGTGTGTGCTCATGTAGGAACCATCATCTTTATGTCATTATTAAGGGAAAGCAGTATTCTCATTGGGTATAAGATAGCTGTTTGCAGACAATCTTTAATCCATGAACTATAAACAGGATTTGAACATATCACTTGAATAGGATGATTTCAGACATATCACTTGATTAGGATGATAATTAATTTAAAATATTTTATATCTTTTACTAGATAAATTTCTGTAGCATAATTACACCTGTGGGTAAAAAAACTAGACTTACTTCTTTTAAAACTGCAGAAATAAAACTTTCAATATGAGACTGAAAGAGCCGAGTTGTAATATGAGACAGGCAGAAAGTGATATTAACTTTAGTAGTTTTGTTATAGGTATGTTTAATTTTACAAAGTAAATGTATTATTCAAAATGTAGGAAGTTACTTTTAAAAATCATCTCAGTTTAGTCATACCAGTACAATCTACCTTTAAAAGAAAATATGTGCATGTATTTATGTGTGTATCTTTGCTCAGTGCTTTACATGTAGCCAGAAGGGATGCAAAAGAGCTTTAGCAAAAAAGCCATATATATATATATATATATATATATGTATATGTATATATATCTCCAAATCACAAATTCCAAATCCTGATATTGTGAGTTTTAATATAGCTTATATATGAAAGCACTTGTATATTGACATTGACATAGATGTGGCATGGTATTGGAGGAGATTTTCATAGTATTTCATTATCCACAACGTAAGCTCAAAGAGGGCAAGTATTGTTCCATGTTTTGATCACTGAAATGTCCCAACCTCTAGAACATAATGAGTATGTACATAATGAGTATGCAATGAGTATTTATTGGATAAATGAATGCAGATTTGTAAAGGATCACCCTACATTAAAATGAGAATGTAGGGATTTGTATGTTACTTGTTTAAGGGAGGTATGACAAAAGCCTAATAAGTGAGCTGTTAAGGCAGTGCTTGTTGTCTTTCAATAAACAATTGTACTGCTAAGTGCTAAATTACTGACAAAAGTCAACAGGTAACCAGAGTTATATATCCTTAAGGATTTACAAACATTTTATACTGTGTATAATTTCTTGAGAAATCCTTCTATGATTTACAGATTATTTCCACATGAGATTGAAAAATAAGGTACTATAGTAGCAATTTTATTTTGCAGATTTTTTTTTATCTACTCAGTAAACACTTTATAAATTCTTTCCTTCAGCAACGTGCTTAGTAGAAATGTAACTGCATAGATATGGCGTCATGGTTCCTGCCCCTAGATGTCTCCTTCTGTGACAAAATTAAGTAAAAAAGAAAAACAAAAACAAAAAATCCCAAATAGACACATAAAATTAAATTCTTCTTGTTAAGTGCTTTAAACAAACCAAATGGAGAATAGGAATTTGGGGATTGGAAGACTTTGTAGTTCTACTGATTAGATGAGCCAATTTTGAGGAGGTGGCATTTAAGCTGAGATCTGAAAGCTGCACCTTAAACTTGTAAAGGGACTTTTGCCATTGGGATAGCTTCTGGAATATCTGCACAGGCGGGACACAAGGAGAAAAAAAGGAAAAGGGTTATTCCACCATGGATGGACAACAATCAGTAGAGTTGGAAATGCTTGCATCTGATAGTTAATACCCACTTATGAAAATGAGAATATGCCATCAAGAATTGTTATGAGTAATTATTATCGCATTTTTTTACATTATCTGCCAGTGTTTGGGACATTAAATTAACTCTCTAAGATAGAGCAAACAAATTAAATTTTTGACAATATCTAAACAAATACAATATAATTTTATGTAAGTCTAACTATATTTCTATTTTCTATTTGATTTGTTTATTTTATACATGTTTCCCAGGATAGTCCACTGATCTTACAGTCTGACAGAAATGTAACAGTGAATGCAAGAAACCACATGGGGCAGTTAACTGGACAGCTGACTGTAGGTGAGTGTTTTGGGGTAAATGTTGCTCCTACTATGCTTGTTCTAACTGAGAAAAGTAGAAGTATGTTATTTCTCTGATATGTAACTCAAGATCCCATTACAGCCCAATTTTCTTGCACATGATTTGACATGTCATAGGTTAGTTATGTGCCTTCTATTTGGTAGTTATTACTCTTGTCATTGTATTATTATGAGATTGAATTACATTTATTTTGCTGGTCATTACTCTTGAATTATGAAATGCACCATTTTTTGTAACAAATATTTTCATAGTTATGTTAATATTATAGTTAATAAACTTAAACATATGAGATGATATATCATTATTAGGTCTATGTATCACTTTTTTAGGGGAAAATATTTTCTAATAAATAGTATCTGCTTCTATAAATGAGAAATTGCATGAACTGAGAATAATAAATATTAACATTTATCAATTACTTCTACATTTGATGTTGAAATTATCTATAATTTAAGATTTATAGCCTTTAGGTTTTGTTAATATAAATGAATGGTAAAGTATTTGTTTTTTCTCATATCAAATACTTTAATTTAGAGATTTATATTATATTAAAATATAACAAAGCAAATAAGAAGTAATTTGTAATTTGAAGTTTTGAAACGTATGTAGATTCTGAATTATTTTTATAACACTGTATTGGTTCTGTGGAGAAATTTCTTAACATTAACATTATGTATCTCTTTATATCTATCTATACATGCATATATATATATATATATATATATATATAGAGAGAGAGAGAGAGAGAGAGAAAGAAAGAACAAAGTAAATTACAATTTTGAGGAGTAAGGTATTCCTATTTTAATGATAAATTAATCATCATTGAAATGCAAATGTGTATTTCCAATATTTCTATTTAAATTTTGCAAAAATGTTATATTTGAAATGTGAGATTTAGAAACACAAATTTTGATTCTGTGTACTTCATTTGTAGGTGTATGAAATATTTTTTATGTTTGTTTTGATGAAAACAAATGGATAACATTTTAGCATATAAGAATTTTCTAAACATATAATTTTATTTTATTTGTAAAAACTGTTTCACTTTACATCATAAAAGTTTATCATTACGTATTTATTAATTGCTACAACTAAATAATATTTTGTTATAATCAGAGATATATCAGTTATAGAGGGGTGCTATTAGCCAATGGATTCAAGATTAAATACAAGAAATATGTGTATAGATACAGAACTGATTCAGAAGCAAAGGCCATTCACTTAAATATTCATGCTAATTCACTCCTGTTATATTGAAACTGCAGAAACTCTAAGCCTATACAAACAGGCCTAACCTGGGTAAATTTTCCATATCATAATTTTATTAAAGTTGGGAACTCTTCAGGCAGATAGAACCTTCTTTTTCTTTCAGTCCTTGATATAAAAAATTCTTAGTAGAAATGTCAGAATGTAAATTAAGTGCACAAAGAATATATACCCATGCCAACTGTCAGACAAAATAGCTACATAATTCCTGCCTGTAGAGCAAAGTAATCATTTGATTATGTGAAGTAAAGATACTGTTTGCATTTCACTGCATGCTTTCCTGCAGGAAATAAAGAATATAGTATGCTTGTATTTTCAGTTACCCTTCCAAACTGATTTTATTGCTATATTGATATTTGCCAGATAGGAGAAAATAGCAAGAGCAAGAGAGAAAAAGAAAAACAGTTAAGCTTAATTTTAAATGTGACACATCATTAAGTTAATGACACAGCCTTATTGTGCAGAAAAATATGTGTATACTTAAAAATTGTTTAATATCCTGGTCCTTTGAGTGTATTTTTGATGACTTATGTATTTATACTGGTTTGCACATTTTAATGAACATAGAACAAAAGAAGACTAGGGCTGTGTGAAGGGAGATAGTGTATTCATATTTCAAACAACGCCATAGGGTGCTACTTAGTAGTTGGTTGGGTGCCAGCAAAACAGTTAATCTTTTGGATACTCAGTTTTCTCATCTCTAAAATGGGGATAATGTCACATTTTGAATGCTGTTATAAGAATTACGGTGATTTCAGTATCTACAAACAGTAGGTAATTATATATTGAATTTATTATTGTGATGATGGTGAGTGTAATTATTGGTATCACTTAAGTTAAAAATACAGTGATATAGGAGAAATCTCATGATGATTTTCTATTCAATGTATCTGTGTGATATTAGTTAAGGTTGAACTATTTATGATACTGTTGCAGAGGTATGTTAAAAAACACAACACAGTGAATCCAAAGTTCAGAAACTCTTGAATCATGTAAGAATAAATTTACCTTTATGTAGTATTTGAAGATATACTTGAATGAATCAAGCAATGTAGAAAATTAAAATTTATTTCTAAAGACTCTAATTGTAATTGTATAAGAATATATAAATAGCTGTTCTAACCCTCTTTTTAATTCCTTTTCTTTTTCTTTCAGTTTTTGTTTATGCATATGACCTTGATTATAGTATAGTCATGATAGTATTTTGCAATATTTAAAAAATTACCACACAAACTGAATAATTATGGAAAATAATTTCAGTTACTCTTCATTTTCTAAGTAAAACAATTCTATGGTCTATCAGTAGAATGCATCAATTTATATTAGTACAGTCAATTCTGAAATATAACAGAATTTGAATATTTTTCCAGATTTTATTCTCATTGCACCATTTTTCCTGAAAAATCCATGTGCATAGTTTCAGCAAAGCAAATATTCATTTATCTTGTACCCTGACTTTTTCTTTCTCTACAAGCCTAGCTTCCTACTAATTCAATTCACAGGGATATATGTAGTCCAGTGATTAGGCCAACTCCTGTGCTAATTCTAATCCTGACTCACTGACAGAATTTAAAATCAAATTATTTCTAATACAATAAATGCAAAAGAGAAATATTTTATACATACACTGGCTCAAGCGTAATCTAAGTATTTTAAAACTTTAGGTAGAAAAATCAATTTGACAAATATTTTTTTGTGAATTTATGAAGTTCCAGGCTTTATGAATTTGACCAGATAATATCCAATTTCCCTCATTAAATCTAGGATTCTAATTTTCATGACCTTCATAACATTGGAGGAGATTAATGAACTCAAGATTTCTTCCTCCAAATTTCTCTTCTTAGAATAAAGCTGAAAGAGAGGAATGAGATTGTTGTTGAGAAGTGGTTAAAGAAAGTACAACATCCCAAGAGGTCAGACTCCTTGAAGAAAAATCAAGAACTTTCTTAAACAAGTCTCAGAATCATTCTCCAGGTCAAAATTTTCTATTATTTAATCTATAATTACTATGTTTTTGTTAGCAGAACATCATTTTTCTTTTATAGGTGAAAAAAGTATGTGATTTTAGGTGTGTTATATATTCATATATGTTGATAATATGATATTTTTCATGACTTTCTTTCAAAAAAGTAGGTAAAAGATGTAAATTATGACCATCTTTGTGAAGTTCATTATATTATCTCAGGAAATGACTACAATATGTGATATAGAGTAGAAATCTTTTATTTATGGTAACGTAAATAGAACATTATCATGCAGTTTTGACATAGACTTTGTTTACAACACTGCTAATAGTAATTAATGCTGTAGTAATTTGGCTCACTTAAAATGTAATAATAATCTTTCCCACAATATCATGAGGATAATTAGATTTTATTTACCAATAACATTGAATTGATATTCAACAGACTATATTTAAACTACTTTTATAAGTAGTTTATGAAGTATAGGTTGATTTCTGTAAAATAATCTCTCCTTTAAAATGCTTAGCCAACATGGATTTTATTAAGCTATAGATTGCTTTTTCTTGTATTACAAATGTATTTTATTTTTGACAAGGCAAGGGCTTTATCAAAATATATTTTATATTTGATAAAATATTATATTAGGTTTAATATGTATTATTAAACCTAATATAATATTTTCCTTTCTCATATGCCTTATGCCATCAGTCTGTAGCTGAAGGATAGAAATGAAAGGAGGATGAACTCAGAAACTGGAAAAAGATTTACCTTAACTGGTGGAGCTAGCTTTGTTTTTGGTTTTGTTTTTGTTTATTTAGTTAGCGTCCCTCATTCTGATTTAAATATTTTAGTCACAACAACTTTTGAGATACTCATCATGGCTACCTATGGGGTCCTATGTCATAAGCAAGAAGTTCCACAATGTCACATCTATATTATTATCCCAGTAAAACATTACGGTTAATTGGGTATTAAAAAACTGAATGTGATTGTTCTGAAATTTTAGAGTGTGCTTAAGACCACAAACTTATGCTTTAAGTAGGATCTCATATTTCATCATAAGTCTCCCTGTTTAATGCTCAATAAATTCAGAAGAATGAATTCAGAATGAATTAATACCTAGGAAAGGCCTGCTGTTATTGTCAGAATCATTTACTTATATTTGATATTCTCATTTGTACTTATCAAAACTCAGTGGAATAACCAAATTATTTAAAAATCTTTTTTTTTTTTTTTTTTTTTTTTTTTTTTTTTTTTTTGAGACGGAGTTTCGCTCTTGTTACCCAGGCTGGAGTGCAATGGCGCGATCTCGGCTCACCGCAACCTCCGCCTCCTGGGTTCAGGCAATTCTCCTGCCTCAGCCTCCTGAGTAGCTGGGATTACAGGCACGAGCCACCACGCCCAGCTAGTTTTTTGTATTTTTAGTAGAGACGGGGTTTCACCATGTTGACCAGGATGGTCTCGATCTCTCGACCTCGTGATCCACCCGCCTGGGCCTCCCAAAGTGCTGGGATTACAGGCTTGAACCACCGCGCCCGGCCTATTTAGAAATCTTAATTACAATCTTTAATTTCTCATTTTCTGCTTTAAGTAATTCTTGAAAGCTTAAGCCTTACATAGCCTGCCTATACGCTAATAAGAATGTCATTTGCAAGTTATTAAACAGTGATATTTGTATTTATTATGAGTTTCTCTTTTTTGTATCTTATACTTTGAGCAATTAACATCACTTAAGAGTAGAAACTGTTG